GCAGCCGTCGCCGCAGCCGGGGGAGCCGGGCCGGCCCCGCGAGCAGTCCCCGCTGCTGCACCTGGACCTGTACAACTTCGACTGCCCGGCGGCCGAGGGCAGCCGCTACGTGCTGACCAGCCCGCGCTCGCTGGAGGCCTGCGCCCGCTGCGCCGTCAAGCCCGTGGAGCTGCTGCCCCGGCCCCTGGGCGAGCTGGTGCGGGAGGCCCCGGGCCGCTCCATGCGGGTGGCCGCCGGCCTGTACGAGGCCTACGAGCTGGAGAGGCAGAGGAAGCTGCGGCAGTGCCGGGAGGAAAGAGAAAGGATTATCCGTGAGGAGAAGCGCAGGATTTTCACCCCCCTGGCCAGCGGCAGCCTGCCCTCCTCCCCTGCCTCCCGCCTGGCCTTCAAAGCCGCCCCGGATGGCACCTGCTCCCCAGCTGCGCAGGCAGGGGCAGGGGTAGAGGTGGGGGCCAGCGCCGGGACCACCCCCACAGGGACCAAGACCAAGACCAAGAGCCACTCCCTGGACTCTCTGCAAAGGAGGAGAGAGGGTTTTTCAGTCAAAACTTCCTCCGATTCAGGGGCGTCCTCCTGCTACAGTGGGGAGAGCCCTGGGGACAAATGGGCCAAAAGCATCCCCAGGACTAGGACGGTGGCTGCCATGAGCTCCCTCGTGGGCCGGAGCTTCAGCCTGGGGGATCTGAGCCACTCCCCCCAGACCACCAAGAAGGTGGAGAAGATTGTCAAGGAGGTGAAGAGGAAGAAGGGTCTCAAGGAGGTGTCAGAGAGGGACAGGAAGATTGCGGCCTTGATGATTGCCAGGCACCAGGAAACCAGCCTCCTGAACGAGCAGAGGTACACGGCCCATCTACAGTGGGACAGCCAGCGGCAGCGGGCGGAGCAGCGCAAGGAGGAGGAAGAGAAGGAGAAGCAGAGGGCGTTGCTGCAGTGCCACAAGATGTGGGAGTCCCAGGTGGAGAAGCGCCGGGGGAAGCTGAACCAAGAGCAGCAAGAGGCAACCCTGCTGAAGCAGCGGCAGTGCCTGATATACGAAGAGAGGTGGAAAGAGCAGGCCGAGAAGCAGGAGAAGATGAAGAGGGAGAAGCTGGAGAGGGCCAGCCGAGAAGACAAGCAGAAGAAGCTCCATCAGGAGCACAACCTCAAGTCTAAGGAGGAGGACAAGAAGGAGCACCTGGAGCGTGAGGAACAGCTCCTGCAGGAGAAGCTGTTCAGTGCTGCACAGAAGAAGCTGAGGAAGGAGCTGCAGCTGCAGAAGGAGAAGAAGCTGCTCCACCAAGCAGAGAAGCTGAAGCATGAGGCATTGCTCAAGGAGTTGGCCTGGCATGAGGCAGAGGAAAAGGAGATGCTAAAGGCTTCCCTGGAGATGAACCTGAACAAGGCCCAGGAGAACTATGAGCAGCTGGTAGAGAAGAGGAACCAGGACATGAAGGAGAAGGCCAAGAGAGGGGAGATGCAGTTCCAGAGAGCCAAATTATCAGCAGAGAGGAAAGAAAAGGAGCAGAAAGAGCACTTAGAGGCTCTGGCCAGAGCCACAGAGAGGAAGCTCCAGCATGCTGCCCAGGTGGCTGAGGAGGTAGTCCAGCAGAAAGCCCGCAAGGTGGTCCAGAGCCGACTGGAGAAGGAAAAGGTACAGAAGATGAACAAGCAGAAAGTGGAGCAGTGTGAGAACTTGCGGCGCAGGGAGATCCTCCTCTCCATTGAGAAGAAGCTGGAGAGGAGTGAGCAGTTCTTCAGGGAGAAAAAAACTGTCCTGGAAAATGCCAGGTCTATTGCCCGGGCATCCTTCCACGTCCGGGAAAAGGTACGGGAGGAGACGAACACACGTACCTTTGACAAGATGGCCTTTGAGGCAGAGTTGCATGCCAACCTGGATAAAAAATGAGAGTTCTTGTCTTTCTGTAGAAGATGAGAAATGCATCACCTGGCACCCACCATAATGCAGTAGAAAGCTCTTACATGTGGGAACACGATTTTATTTTTTTTAAATCCTGAGTTACTATTTGTAGGGACCAGGGTACTGCACAAAAACCATGGCAGCTATTTCACATACCTTTATAAATATAATTTTATTTTGGGGGTTGTTCTAGGAGACGGGCCTCAGTTCTCTCTACCAGAAGAGAAACTATCCCATCTCCATCTGACACAAAGCCATGTACACAGATTAAAGCAAGAGCACGCACGTTTACTCAATGAGGGCTGCGGTGGCAACTTGCCAGAAACCTGTAGGTTTCCTCTAATTTGCCTAAAAATAGAGCTGATTGCAGTCATCCTCATCTTTAATATGGAAATGCACAGAGTCAAGATTATAGGCCTAAGCGTAAGGCACCTCATTTTGATTTGAGTGGCTTTTCAGCTTGAAACAAGTCCTGTTTGCTTGAATCTGTTGTCTCCTCCACACTAAGGATGAGAATGGCTCCTTTATAGAACTCCATGGGGTGCATCTGGTTCCTGGGCTGCACTTTATCCACTTCTGATATAAAATGCAGAAAGAAGGTACCTATAATAACACCATGCAAGTAGATGCCATGATCAGAGCTGGGCAGATATTGCAAACTATAATTCACAACCACTAACTATAACACTAACCTTTGCTTTCATCGTCTTGACAACCCCTTTCATTCACCTTGCACAGACATTCAGAGAAAGCCGTTGTTACAGAAAAGGGAATGTCATATATACAATTGCATTCCCAGGAGTATTTGCACTGGAAGTGATTGCCTGGATTTCTGGAGAGGTATGCACCTATCCAATCAGGGATCAGAAATACCACCATGTGACATGTGCCCAATCACACAGTTTTAAGAGCAGATTATGAACAACTACTAGAAGTAAACTGGTTAAATGTTCTCAAGTAATTCACACATTTGAGTTATGCTTGTGCAGATGATTTATTGAACAATTTCAGATCAGGACCCATCTTTTGAAACACTGCCTGCTCACAGATCATTTCTAACAAAAAAATTAACAAGTAAATTATTTGCAGTGAATACATTACCCAGCTCTAATCATGGCTTGCTACACAGGACATTGGTGCTAATGACTACTATGTTCTTTATGGCACATAAGACAACAGATGTACATTTTGGAACAAATTAATACTTGTTATTAATTTACTCAGGAGGGGATCATGGCATTCTTACAGCTCTAACCAGTTACTGGATAGCATGGAATTAATCCTTCTGTTATTAGTGAAGGAGGACTATTAAAAGCCTGCCCCAAACTCATGGAAAACAATGGATTTAGAGAACATTCTGCTGACCTTTGCTGTATGTATTTTTCTCCCGGATTATTGTTATCAGAACACATCTGCATGAAAACAGAAATCTTTGCTAGACTTCTTCTAAGTTTATGGTATAATTAGCTGCTTCTTCCCTGCACTTCACCTGCTGTGACATCATGCTGGGCTGCTGTGGAAAAGGTGCTGATAGAAAGGTCACAAATAGAATATGCTCAGCTCAGATGAGGTGAAGCAGTGGGAGCAACAAAGATCCTGTGTTCATGCAAATGACTCTATACACAAAGCCAGGGGAAGAAAGATGGGAAATAGTATGTGAGAGATCCTATATGGAATGCTTTTCAACATTTTGCTTGAGGTGGCAGCCAATCTTAAAAAGTTTTTGAAGGAAGATGTAATGTTAATGGCAACACTAGCAGTAGCTCAAAGGCATGCAGACCCTGGAAACAGGATACGACTAGTGCTGGAAGCAAAAAAAGTCAGTTTTCCAGACTTTGATTTAATTTATTTAGCTTGGTGACTAATAAACAAGTTTGGTCCAGTGTAAACAGCAGGAGACTAAGAGTCAGAAGGCTTGGATTTTGTTCCCAGCTCTGCCAGTGACTTGACACTAAGCAGGTCATTTGGAGCTGATCCTTCTCCCACTGAAATGAGTAGCATTTGCCCAAAAGAAGCAGAATTGGGTTCATAGCCTTGCTATGCCTCATTTGACCCTCTGGGGTAAATGGAGGCTAATGATACCACACTTTTTAAAGGCCACTGAGATCTTCAGACAAAAGGTGCTACAGAAGTGCAAAGTATTAAATATGTATTTATGAGTATTTATTTTGTCTGTATTTAGTTAGGCACTACAGGAAAACATACCTTTTAGGGATAGTGTTCACTTTTAGAAAGTACACCAGGTTACATCAAATAGCAAGAATATTCAAAACCATTGTTGGGGGATGGGAGGAGGAACAGTGCTGGATCCCTGCCCTCAGATAGGATCCTTTTGCCTTTGAATATTCCCAGTGATCTGAATGGCTAATGGGCTTTAGCTTAAGGCAACTTTCATGGAATAATTCCCCTTTCTGTCATTTGTCCACTTAATTGTTATATTCAGCACCGCTTGCTTTACTGTATAGGGAACTACTTTCACATTTTTAAAACTAAAAATTTTTTACGTTGTATGTTTTCCAAATAATATTTCTCTCTCTCTGTACATATACACACTACATTTACTATATGTATATGTAAGTACACACACATACTATATATCACATATGATATATATCAAACATATACCATATAATATTGTAAATGTAGTGGGTCTGACCAAAGTCTATATAGGAGAATGTGTGGAATCTTTTAATTGATTTCATATGCTTTACATCAAGCCCAGAAAAGCAAATGTTAAGACATGCTGATGACACTGAAAGACACACTGACAATTTGGGGAGAGGCCTGAGAGCTACTCCTCAGGTCTGCTCCCGCTTCTGTTGCTTTCAATGAGAATTTTACACTGACTTAATTGGAAACAGAATTAGACTCCTGAATGTGTGTAACATATATTTATATTTGTTATTGTATTTTCAGTACTGAAGTGCAGTTATCAGAAAACCAAGAGCCCCCAAATGCAACGCTCCATCTGGCTGCTCAGAATAAGTTTGAAAACCTGAAAACCAGGAGCTGTAATTTTTTATTTTTTAATAGAGCACACATTTTTCCTTCTTATGAAGCAAAATGCAGATAACACTTTAGCCATACCAGGAAAGAAGGTAATCTCTGCTGGTTCTTCAGAAGGACTGTTAAGCACAACTGCATCTTGAGCTATTCATTATTTTCATTAATCCAAATATTTTGTCATTAGACTAACACTTACATGCTGTGTAAGGACCACTGCACAATTTAAAAAGTTGCACTTAAAACACCGTCAGGATGTATCTGTCCAGATCTGTAGTCAGATCCATACTTCATATTGACCCCTGTATCTGTTGGGCCAACTCTACGCCCAGATCTAAGTACCCTTCAACTATGCGAAGGTTCAAATCAAGATTCAATCTTCAAGACTTCAGCTGATGACCACTTCATTGATGGTTACTATATTCTTACTTGATCTGGTTAGAATTTGCCAGCTGCGACTGCCTGGAAAGTTATTTGAATACTAGATGTCAATACTATGACAAAAGACTACGGTATCCTTTGGATGTACAAAGCAAAATTCTATGACCCTATCCTACTGTTCTTTCTCAGGTAAAACTCTCATTGATCTAAACTGGAGTTTTGCTTGATTAAGACAAAATGATCAAGACTAAGGGTGCTCAACCGCTGGCCTGTGTACCAGATTTGGCCTCCCTGTACCAGGTCATCCAGCCCATGGGACTCCCTACAGGTATGTGGGGAACTCCATAAGCCATGGCCTTGCATGCTAGATTGGGTGCACAGGGCAGTGTGCAGGGCTGGGTGGCAGTGCGTGGCCCTGATCTTGGAACATGCGGCCAAGCAGATGTGACACAAGGCCTTGCAGCCCTGGTCTTGGCATGCAGAGTCTGATCCATTCATATGGCCCATAGGGCCAAAACACTGAGCAGCACTGATCAAGACCATAACATGGAAGAAAAGATTCTGCCCCCGCCCCTGCCCTTCCCTTCCCCACCCACATTGTGTATGAGATAAAAAAGACATTATAAAAATTAAGGTTCACACACTTATATGCTTTTCTATTGAGGGTTATTAGACAAAGCCATATTGTTAGCCAGAATTCTCTGTTTGGTTCTGTAGTACAGTTCTTTTATTCCACAGTGCACCTTTGCATTCACTCCACGGGAAGTTATTCCTTATGGGATAACTTGGAGATTATATCATAGAATGAAAGCAGAGTCTGCAACAAAGATATCTGCTTGACAGATCCAAGAGGAGGAATTGTTCATTGGGTATGCTACACGGCTGGAGTACTGTGTCCAGTTTTGGGCTCTGCAATTCAAAAAGGATGTGGAGAAGCTTGAGAGAGTCCAGAGAAGAGCCACGCGCATGATCGGAGGTCAGGAAAGCAGACCTTACGATGACAGGCTGAGAGCCATGGAGCTCTTTAGGCTGGAAAAGCACAGGTTCAGGGGTGATCTGATGGCCACCTATAAGTTTATCAGGGGTGACCACCAGGATCTGGGGGAACATTTGTTCACCAGAGTGCCCCAAGGGATGACGAGGTCGAACAGTCATAAACTACTGCAAGACCGTTTCAGGCTGGACTTAAGGAAGAATTTCTTTGCTGTCCGAGCCCCCAAGGTCTGGAATAGCTTGCGATTGGAGGTGGTTCAAGCACCTACATTGAACACCTTCAAGAGTAAATTGGATGCTTATCTTGCTGGGATCCTATGACCCCAGCTGACTTCCTGCCCGTCGGCCGGGGGGCTGGACTGGATGATCTTCCGAGGTCCCTTCCAGCCCTAATGTCTATGAAATCTAGAAGGCCTGGACAGGATTGGGGAATTTAGGGAAATACATAGCCTGCTTTCCAGGATCTGGGCACAGGTTTATTGACTCCTGTCTACAGACCTATGCTACCAGTCTTCATGTAATGCTTAAGAGAAATAATATGTCATCTCCCCTGTTGATCTGATACCTGAGCTAGCTGAAGTATCTCTGCACAGCATTGTATTCGACCATGCAGACATACCAATTAGACCAGGTGACTGAGCACTGCTGTACATAGGGGAAGACCTTCCTTCTTGACCCCTGGCCAGTGATCACATCAAAGCCTTAATTTGATTTCCAGAGGTTCTGCTTGCCTGTGAATTAATTGTTGCTGAATAAGAACAGAATTGTTATACTAGGATTTTATGGTGGTGCATGCAATAGTTTTACTTTTAAAAAAAGATGCCAATCTATGATGGGGAGAGAATATGCCTAAATAACAAAATGAACTTCAGAGTCTCCCACATGCTTTTACTCCCGTTTCAGTAGTTAACACAGGCCAGAATTGTTTGCAGACAGCAGGAACACCTCAGCTGACTCCACAGCCCTTATTCCTAGAAGCCATATGGATGGGCTCTGAAAGGGACTGCGTGCCATGAGTAATGTAGTTGGGGGAGGAGGGGGGGGCAACCAGGGCATCAGTCCCAGGCATTCAGTTGCAGGACAGTGGTGCAAAAAAAGCAGCTACTGTACTACTGGCCCAGCTGCTGCCACCAGTGGCCCAGCCACTGACATGACCCTGCATGCCATTGCCACCACCCAAGGGTGTAGATGTGCTCAGGTTCACCTCTGCATGCTCTTATCAGCTGCGGCTCAAGTTTACTATAATAAAACTACAAAGTGTTTCAAGGATTTGCTGAAGCAGGGCCTTTGGGAGCTAGTTTGCTTGAAAAAAGCTTAGATCGGGGAAGATTATCATAAACACAAAGGGCAGTGAGATGCCCCAGTTCCAGTTTACCCTCTGAAAAACCAACCCCGTATTTTATTTGGACCAGTTCACCCAGCTCTATGTAGTAAGGCTCTGAAACTAAATCTCAGACCCAAACATGCCTCAGTTATGTATGTGTTCAAAATCCAAATCTAGAAGTGAATCTCACAGTTGTCTCCTTTGTGTCAAGCCACTACAATCACTCATTTCTGACTTACTGATTCCTGTGGCATTTTGCCTGGGGAAGGACTTCCAGTTTGATCATTAATAATACAATAAACCTCGAGTCCTAACTGCTCTGTAACTCTGGGGTAACTCCAGGTCTGGGTTAGAGTTTGGCATCTTGAGTCCATTCCTAACAGCTGCTGTTCCTGCAAAATGTGAATGGGTTTATGGCAAATTCAAGGCCAGAAGAAGCTACCAATTGTCACGTAATTTTGCGTATCTCTCCTGCCTCCACTCTATTTATATACTCTGTAGCAATCATCAGTGTCTCAGAGAATAATACTAACAATGTCATTCTAGTCTTACAGTGCTTCACAAATCTGCCCACAGTAAATCTCACAACCTACCTGTATGGTAGGGGAGCATTATTTTCCCCATTTTAAGATGTGGAAACTGAAGCAGAGAGAAATTAAATGACTTGCCCAAGGTTATGTCAGGAATCAGTAGTAGAGCTGAGATCACCTGTTGGGCATACACTGACTCATTCCTCTTATAGTTTCATAGTAGGTAGGGTCAGGAGGGACTTGAACAGATCATCTAGCCTGACCCCCTGCCACAGGCAGGAATGAAAGCTGGGTTCACACAACCCCAGACAGGTGATCATCCAACCTCTTCTTGAATTTTCCCAAGGTAGGGGCGAGGACCATTTCCCTGCGAAGTTGGTTCAAGATTTTGGCCACCCTAACTGTAAAATATTGCCTTCTGATCTCTAACCTAAACCTATTCTCCATCAGCTTATTACCATTGTTCCTCGTCACCCCAGGTGGTGCTGGGGAGAAAAGGGCTCTACCTATTTGCTGTTGATCTCCCCTGATGAGTTTGTAGGCAGCCACCAGGTCCCACCTCAGCCTCCTCTTGCTGAGGCTGAATAGGTTCAGGACCCTCAGTCTCTCCTCGTAGGGCCTGTCCTACTGCCCTCTCACCAAGTGGGTGGCCCTCCTCTGAACCCTCTCCAGGCTCGCCACATCCTTTTTAAAGTGTGGTGCCCAGTGCTGGACGCAGTACTCCAAATGCGGCCTGACCAGTGTCGCATAGAGGGGGAGTATCACTTCTCTGGACCGGCTTGAGATGCACCTTTGGATGCATGACAAGGTACGGCTGGCCTTGCTGGC